CTCTCATTACATGTCCGAAATATTCCAGCTTTCTCTGCTTGATGCTTTTTATGATCTCAGTAGTCTTGCTGAGACGTTCTAGTAATGTGGAGTTACGAATCTTCTCCACCCAGGAAACTTTTAAAATTCTTCTATAGCACCACATTTCGAAAGCCTCAAGGCGATTTAGATCGATTTTATTCACAGTCCAGGACTCGACAGCATAAAGTAAGACCGAGAACACGTAGCAGCGAAGTAGGCGGATCCTTAATGCCAATTTTAGGTCTCTGTTACATAACACCTTGGACATCCTTCTAAAAGCAGCTCTAGCCTGCTCTATTCTGGATCTAATTTCGCCGTGATTTTCTGAATTACAATTTAATTGCTGTCCAAGGTAGACGATTTTATCAACTTGCTCAAGTTTGGTATTATTTACATATATAGATGGTTTTATATTCTGTTGTTTACTTATTACGAGTATTTTGGTTTTTCTTATGTTAAGATTCAGACCTGCTTCCCTACAACTCTCAACGACACTATCCAGTAGTGTTTGCAGATCTTCTTGACTAGAAGCTAGGAGTACTGTATCGTCCGCATATCGCAAATTATTGATGACTTCGCCGTTCACAAGTATTCCTTCTTGTTTTTCAGAAAGTGCTTTTCTGAAAATTCTTTCGGAGTAAACGTTAAAAAGCAGGGGTGGCAAGAGGCATCCCTGCCGTACTCCTCTTTTAATATTGAGAGCTTGTGATTCCACACCATCTACTAAAACTGATGTTGTTTGATTCCAATATAAATTTGCAATTATTCGAACATCTCTGCCGTCCAAGCCAATGTCTTTTAGAGCTTCGATCAATATAGAGTGCTTAACACGATCAAATGCCTTTTGAAAGTCAATAAAACAACAGTATATGTCTACAGATATATCACGACATCTTTGAGCAAGTACGTTCATTCCAAACAGTGCCTCTCTCGTTCCAAATCCGTTACGGAAACCAAACTGAGTGTCATCCAGGTATTCCTCACATTTATTGTAGATACGACCAAGTATTACCTTCTGAAAAATTTTCAATAAGTGGTTTAACAAACTGATGGTTCTATAATCAGCACAGGTTTTTGCTGTTGTCTTCTTAGGTAGAGCTATAAACAGTGAGTTAGACCAACCATTAGGTAGTTGTCCGCTGGTATAAATGGTATTGAAAAACGAAGTTATAGCCTCTAAAACATTGCTATCCTTTATAAGCTTATATATTTCAGTTGAAATTTCATCAGGACCAGTCGCTCTGCCATCTTTTGATGATTGTATGGCCTTTATAACCTCACAGCGTGTTATTAGGGTCCGTCGCAGTTAGTAATATCGGGAGGTGAACTACTCCTATCGTCTTCGAATAGGTTCGTGACGTAATTTTCCCATTCTTTAAGTTTGTCCTTTACTTCGAATATTACTTTATCATTTTCATCCTGTAGCAATGCATTTTGTTTCTTATTAAAGATACCAGCCGCTTCTTTTACTTTTGTATACATGTTAAACGTGTCGTATCTTTTTTCGAGCTCTTCAATGTTATGACACTGTTTGGCTAGATGTTGACTCTTTGCTTCTCGTATTTTACGTCGAATTTCATTTTGTATGCTATTGTAAAGTGTTTCGTTGGTTTTTGCTAGTCGCCGTTGTTCCATCAAATCCAGTATATCATCTGTCATCCAAGCCTGCTTTTTTGGCTTTGACCTGCCTTGTAAATTTCTCACACAGATTTCTTTTGCTGTCGTTACGATTTTATTTAAGCCCTCATCGACGTTTTCACCAATATTTTCCCAAATTAAATTTTCGTTCAGTTGTCTTTGAACTGATTCCTTAACTTTCTCGTCTTGTAGTTGGGCTGTATCAATCATTTTGCGAGACTTCTTTTGATCACCTTTTTTAATTTTAATTGGGTTACAGCTACTATGGAATTGTGATCGGACCCAATGTCAGCACCTGGATAAGTTTTAACTGATTTGATGCAGTTTCTAAATCGATTTTTTATTAGAATGAAGTCGATTTGATTCCTAATAATTTTGTCCTCTGATTCTGCATTTGACTTCCAGGTGTAGAGTCTTCTCGGTGGTAGTTTAAAATAGGTATTCGATATAATGAAATCGTGCTCTTGACAGAACTGGACAAGTCGATCTCCACGTTCGTTTCTGTTTCCCAAGCCATATTCCCCCACAATGTTCAAACAGCGTCATTTGCCGACTTTAGCTTTAAAATGTCCGAGGACTATGGTATTTTCTGCTGCTTTGACAAGATCTAGAGCATCAGTAAGATCTTTGTAGAATGCTTCTAATTTATCTTCATCACTAGATGATGTTGGGGCATAGACCTGAATTACGTTGGTAATAAACGGCTTTGAACTAAATTTTACTAGCATTACTCTGTCAGATATGGGAATATAAGTTAAAACTGATTGAGCTAAGTGTTTTGCTACTACGATTGCAACTCCATTATAGTGATTGGCATTTGTATTTCCGGCATGGTACACTTGATATCCATCTACGTCACATACTCCTGATCCCGGCCATCGCATTTCGCTTATTCCGAGGATGCTGATGTGCATTCTTTTCATTTCTTTTCTTTTCAATCATCGGTACTCTGAATAGATGGAGAATATACAGAACAGGTCAAAATCTTAAGAGGAGTGAGACAGGGGTGCATAATTTCACCACTGATATTCAGTCTGTACTCGGAGCACATTTTTGAAGAGGCCCTAAAAGATATTGATGAAGGCATCTCAATAAATGGAGTCAAGCTTAATAACCTGCGGCATGCAGATGATACAATAGTGTTTTCCAATACCATAGAAGGGCTGCAAAACTTAATGAACAAAATAACAGAAACAAGTAGAACCTATGGACTGGATATAAACACCAGCAAAACCAAGCTAATGATCATCAGCAAGCAAAACATAACTGGAGCAAATCTGTATGTGAACCAAATGAGAATTAAACGTGTCTCACAATACAATTACTTGGAAACTATAATCAATGAGTCGTGGGAAAATACCCAAGAGATTGAATGTCGCATCGGAAAGGCCAAAGTGCATTCTTGGCTATGAGCTCTGTGTTCAGAAGCCATGATCTCACCCTGAAAACAAAAATAAGGCTCCTTAAATGTTACGTATACTCAGTGCTTCTGTATGGAGTACAAACGTGGACATTGAAGGCGGAAACTCTATCAAAACTTCAGGCGTTTGAATTATGGTTATACAGAAGAATCCTGAAGATACCATGGACAGACAAAGTCACCAATGAAGAAGTACTGCGGACGATGAACACAACCGCGGATTTGGTCAACATTGTGAAGAGCAGTAAGCTGGAGTACTTGGGATATATTATGAGAAATCAAGGCAGATACGATGCAGGTCTACTCCAATGCACTTTGCAGGGTAAAATTGAAGGAAAAAGAGCCCCAGGACGAAGAAGAATATCCTGGCTTGCTAACCTGAGAGCATGGTATAGAAAGACCTCAACACAGCTATTTCGTATAGCAACCAACAAAATCATCATAGCCAGAATGATCGCCAACGTTCGGAACGGACAGGCACCCTAAGAAGAAGAAGAAGATTTCTTGCAGAAAATGTTTTAGTGTAATTTGCATTCTTATTTTTGCTAGTACTAGTTTGTGTTCGATCCCTGCGTCTACTGAGTTCGGATATCTAGAATTTGCTTTGGGTGGATTTTTCTATTAGCGACTATAAAATCAATCATAGATTTGTGCACCCTGGAGTTTTTAAATGTATATTTATACTGGAGCTTATGGTCGAAAAATGTGTTATTGATTCTTAGTTCGTTAAAAGCACAGAGATTAGCCATGAGTTCTCCATTTGCGTTGACATGGCTTTCATTAAATCTTTGTTTTACTCCTGGAACTATTTCATTTTCGATTCATGCATTAAAGTCACCCATAAGAATTAAGGGTTCTTCATGAGGTATTTCATACAGGATGGTTTGCAATTGTTCGTAGAATTCCTCTCGTTTCTCCTTAGGTTTGCAGTCCTCGGGGCTATAGATAGATATGACATTTAATTTTTCGTAGTCCATTGTGATGTTCATATGTATTATTCTTTCGGAGATATACCAGCAGTTATTTATGTTGTCTTTAAATTTTTTATGGACAAGTATACCTACGCATACTCGTGCTCGTTCTTCTTTCTTCACTCCGCTGTATGCTAGAAAATATTGGTTATAGTCTCTTTGGCCTTTACCTTTCTGGTTTCTTGGATTCCACAAATGTCTCTGTTTTTATTTATTAGTTCTTCTAATATCTCTTGGTCTTTGTTGTTGAAAGAAGTAATGTTCCATGTTGCTAATCTAATTGTGGGCATATTTTTCCTTCTCGTTTTCCTTTTCTTTGCGTGGTTCGGCATCTTATTTTTCGTCTGCTTTCGAGGCTGTATATCGATTGTTTGAGCCTTGTGTTCTTTTACAATGGGTAGGATGCTAATCTGGCCCTCTTTTATCCAGGCTTGGGACCGGCTATGGGCATAAACGCGGTTTCCGAGCTACTCAATCCACCCAGTCCTCGCGCTCATAACTCCCAGGTAGAGTTTTTTTTTCTTTATAAAACATTATTTTAGGATTAACATTACTTTTTCGTAATTTATAAAAACATTATTTTTGGTATCAATTTTTTTTACCTTAAAATGGATAGGGGTAAATTTTGTTTGCATGTGCAGTCTTTATTCTTTTAATGTGGATAGAAGAGATTTACAGTTTTTGTGCAATGTCCTTTTTATACTCGTATATTGCCTACTATGCGTAGCTGTTGTTTTCTATTACTTAATAATTATTTTGTAAAATTGTATATCTGTCGAAAATACAGTTTAACTAATAATTTTACTACGTTTCTTTATTAAAACAATAAAACTATATAAAAAATGGCAAATTTCATCATAAATATCCAATTTATTTGCACACTCGTATAAAAAAACTGACATCATTACCCAAATTCAAGTATGTTCGAGTCTAGCCAACAAACTGTACGTGGCCTATCCCAATCTCACTCCAATTTGCGCATTTGTCGATCGATCGGCAAACAGTTGTTCGTCGAAGTAGGAGTGAATGTTCCCAAGTTTTCCACCAATTTTTTGATATATTAAAATTGAAAAATGTCGCAAGTGAGGCAGAATTTCCACAAGGACTGTGAAGATGCTATCAACAAACAAATCAATGTGGAGCTGAGTGCTAGTTATGTCTATATGACCATGGTGAGTTTTACTTTTCGTCTGGTATTCAAATTAGATTGATAAATATACTTTACAATGTAATTATAAAGCGTTGTATATATGTGGGTATGAGTCAGACGACGATAAACTCATTTTAGATTGTAAAATGGACTATATTTCACATTTTGCTGGATTATTTTCATTTTTGTTTATAATAATGATGTATACTCTTCACAACAGTCCCCTAAGCGTTACAAATAATTTTGTACTCTCTTTCCATTTTGTCGAGAGCTCTTTCTACAAGGTGTCTTTTCCTTAATATTTAGATGCAATATTTCATAAGTATTGCGAAATATCTTGATAATATTCAATATTATGCGACGATTCGCAGATTTTAATAGTTTTCGCAAATTTCAATACCAGTAATATCAGCAATATCAGTTTCTGTGACACATAAATTTCATATTAGACGTTGTGCCTTATTCTACCAATGTTTGAACAAAGCCTGACATAAGAAGAATAAAAGAAATAATGAAAACAACTTTTCTTCCACTAGTTTTTATCTAATACACCAGTCTCTATAATTATTTGCATCTATCTTTGTTTAGGATCATGTTTTATCTGAACATCTAGTTGTGGTTGTGTAGGAAATTGTAGTCCTCCCTTTTATTGTTTTTGTAAGTAAATGTTTACTAATATATAATTGTTTTGTCCTATCTGTAGTAGTCCTTCTATCTCAGGGTTTGTCCAAAGACTTTCAAAATCTAGCTATTTTTATTTCTATTTGACAGTTTAATTACTATTAAACTGGGAATAAGCCACAATTAAAGATAAAAATACGTTTATTGACGTTTCAATTTCCACTTCGGAAATCGTTCTCAAAATACAAACAGTAAATTAAACAAATTTTGTTTTTTGTTACATAGTGAAAAATTCTTCTAATAATTTAATTTTATCTGACTCATTTATATTGACAATTCAGACATACATTATGCATTTTAAAGTAGACGACTTTAAACTGATATTGCCAATATTGTTGAGTTGCGCTCCTGGGACGACTTTACTTATAAGATAGTTCATTCGATTACATGAAATCAACTTAACTTGAGAATATGCGTCAGAAAAAAATCATAGCAAGTAATTCGTCTTTAAAAAGACAAACACATGACATGATGACAGTAAAATTCTCCTGTTAGTGATCCATAGTAAATTATGAGGGAAAAACCAGGAAAAAAAACCTCATAATACTACTCCCGACATTGTAAGTATTTGTTCGTGAATTTAGTTTACCTTCAACAAACATCAAAATTCTGATTTTATATGTTACGTTATTTAAAAACATAAATTTAATGATGTATCCTCTATATGTTACTGACTTACTAATACTGGTATTTTCTTATTAATAACTTCCTCTTTCAATATTGGTAACCAGATCCTACTACATTCTGCCTATTTATGGAAGATTTTGAAACAAATATCATTTCTAAACAAAATTTCAAACCCACAGTATGGTGGAGGTATGTAGATGATGTATTCTCAATATGGCCTCATGGATCAGAGTTGTTGGACACATTCCTAAATGATATAAACGATAAAGAAGAGACAATAACATTTACCATGGAAAAGGAATATAATAACACCTACCTTCCTGGATGTTTAATCTCTAAGAACGATACTGGATATGAGACTCAGGTGTATAGAAAAACCAACACACACCAATAGATATTTAAATTTCAAATCAAATCACAATATTAATGTAAAAAAGGGAATAATTAAATCCTTATACGATAAGCCAAAATTACTTGTTCTAACGAAAATTCGTTCTTGGAGGAGAAACATTTATTAACTTCTGTTTTATTAAAAAATGATTATCCTTTATCGTTTATAAATAAGGAATTTTCAACAATCGATCGAATAGAACAGAACAACTTAGAACGAGATCCTACAGCATACACAAGGAATAATATGACGAAAATAACAATACCGTACATAAAAGGACTATCAGAAAAACTTAAAAGGATAGGAAATAAATTCAACATTTCAACAACATTCAAAACAACAAACACGTTGAGATCTATTTTGTCCAAAACCAAACCTAACAATGAACAAGAAAGGACAAAGAATTGCATTTATAAAATACCTTGTGAATGCGATCAGTTTTATTTAGGTGAATCATCAAGGCCATTAAATGTTAGAATAAGTGAACATCAATCTTATATTAAAAATAGAGAATTTGATAGATCTCAAATCTGTAAACACGCATGGGATAATGAACATAGGGTTCAATGGAATAATTCAAATGTAGTCCTAAAAGAAACGGATGGTAAAAAAAGAAAAATCAAAGAAGCGGCTCTAATTATGCTAAATGAGGCCAATTGTGTCGCAAATTCCTCGGCAGAATGTAGTAGGATCTGGTTACCAATATTGAAAGAGGAAGTTATTAATAAGAAAATACCAGTATTAGTAAGTCAGTAACATATAGAGGATACATCATTTATGTTTTTTAAATAACGTAACATATAAAATCAGAATTTGATGTTTGTTGAAGGTAAACTAAATTCACGAACAAATACTTACAATGTCGGGATAGTATTATGAGGTTTTTTTCTGGTTCCTCATTTACTATGATCAGGTTTATGTCCAGATTGCTTTAAAGACGAATTACATGCTATGATTTTTTTCTGACGGATATTCTCAAGTTAAAGTTGATTTCATGTAATCGAATGAACTATCTTATAAGTAAAGTCGTCCCAGGAGCGCAACTCAACAATATTGGCAATATCATTTTAAAGTCGTCTACTTTAAAATGCATAATGTATGTCTGAATTGTCAATATAAATGAGTCAGATAAAATTAAATTATTAGAAGAATTTTTCACTATGTAACAAAAAACAAAATTTGTTTAATTTACTGTTTGTATTTTGAGAACGATTTCCGAAGTGGAAATTGAAACGTCAATAAACGTATTTTTATCTTTAATTGTGGCTTATTCCCAGTTTAATAGTAATTAATTTACAATGCCACAAGAAAATAGCTTCAGAACAATATTTGACAGTTTGTTGTACGGAGTTAAGTCGTGGACTCTCAAAGACGCTACCTGTAAGAAAATTGAGGCTTTTGAAATGTGGCTTTATCGTAGAATCCTGAAGATATCCTATACCAACCACGTTACTAACCAGGACGTTTTATTAAGAATGCAAAAAAAAAGAGGTTCACCACAATCAAAACAGCCAAAATTGAATACTTCGGTCACAACATGAGGAACAGCGGTTGCTGCAATTTATTCTTCAAGGAAAAGCTGAAGGAAAACGGGACGATAATTTATTAATATACAGGGTGTTCCATTTAAAATAAGCCTTATATTACACATTGAATAATCCAATAATGAAACTACAAATTTTGAACACCCTGTAAATAAATGTTTAATAATTAGTCATGAAATACATTCAACCAATATCCAAATATTTAGAGGTATTACCAACTTTATTAGAATTTTTTAAATAAGTTAGAAATGAGTCTTCCTTTAAAGCTGTAATATTCCACATAACTCAGAACACTCTGTACATAGGTATAGGGAAGTCTTATAAAACTATACCTTATTTCTTGCCGACAATTAGAAAATGCAATAAAATATAGGATGTCTCATAAGAAAAAATATAACTTTGATACGCCGCACTTTATTGGATGCCCTGTATATTTGAAAATAAGTTTAAAATGTAGCCCTTATTAACCTTCAAACTACAAATTTGAAGTTTTTTAAAATCTTTTACAGTTTCGCTGTAATCTTCGGTCTCGTTAGTGGTGACTCACCCTGTATAACTAACTAATAGGTCTTCTTCAGCATTGTTAAAAACTTGACCAGTAAAATACAAACTTGAATAATTCGACAGATCATTATAAACTAGTTCTGCTCTTTCTCGTTCCTGTTTCCTTTTTATTTTTTTAAATAGTGTTGTATGTTTAATTCCATACGTTGCAGCAGCCGTGCGAAGTTTCAGGCCACCCTCCACTGCTTGTATGGCATTTTGAATATCATCTTCAGTTGGAGACACTTCTGCATATTTTCTTTTGTATGTATGTACTGTCTCAGTTCCTAAAATCCACATTTAACATTAATTTTAATTCTTCCTAATGGAGCTTGCAGTAATGGGGCACCTTTGAACTTTGTTCAAAGGTGCCCATTCCTGTTGTTCAAATTGTGCACCGCAACTACAGATTTTAAATTTAGGTAAGTTAAAAATTTAGGGTTAGAATTACGAGGTTAAATATTGAACCCATACCTTGGAAAAAATTGCAGGCTAGCAGCAAGACCAACCAGTTCCTAATATTTTGCTTGTATTATCCTTACAACCAAAATTACACAAAAATGCGTTTAAATACCGAAAACCTTAGTTTCGCTGTTACGTTTGTTAACACAACAACAATCGCTCATGCAACTTCACATTAGTAGTAAAAATGTAGCCAACACCGTATAACAAAAATTACTAATATTTCCACCCCACGTTCAAAAGTGCCCCCTCCTCCGCTACATATATTTTTATTCTTTTAGGCAATTTTCGCCTATTTTTTATTTCCTTAGTTTTCTATACTCAGTTTTGTGATTTGGCCAAAGTATAATTATTCAGTTATTTGCTCTAAGTTTACCTATTTAATTAAGATTTTCAGAACCTCTTCTTGATTTCTTATGGTTTTAGTTTTATCATCTCATTCTTTTAGCCTTCTATCGTCTTTTTTTGGACATAGGTCTCTCCCAACTTCTTCCGTCGACATCTATGCTGGGCAACATATTTCCAATTTGTTCCGTTTACTCTTTTTATGTCATCTACCTCTCTTATCTGTAGTCTTCCTCTTGGTCGTCTACCTTTGTCAGATCTTCAATGTTGTAGTGTGTCCAATGTGACGTCCTTGGTCTTTTTGTTTAGCAGTGGGTCCTTTGAAGTTCCATTTGAGTTTGACAATTTTTGTTGTGATATCCTCGACTTTTGTTTTTAATTTTAACCAGTCGTTCCTCTTTTTATCCGACAGCCGTATAAATAACATTGCCCTTTTTGTTGACACTAGTTTATTTATATTTGCCTTGGTTAGGGTCCAGCTTTGACATCCATATGTCATGATAGGAAGGATGTACTCGTTGAATACCTCAAAAGATAAGGTATTTTGCGGTTCTTAAGTATCCAACTGAGTTTTACAAATCCTGCCCATGCCAGTCTTGCTCTTCTAGTGATTTCCGCACTTTGGTTCTCTTTGTTAAGTTTCAGAATTTGGCCTAGGTAGATAGTAGATTCTTGGACTTGTTCTATCTCACTGCCATTTGTAGCTTACATACGTCTGGGGTCGTCTGTGTTTGTCATTGCTTCATCTTTATTTAATAATATGATTATACCTACTAAATAAATATTTTTTTGATTCTTGGTCAAATATGTTTAATGATTGAATCGTTTGGTCTAAAAGTGAAATACAAAGAGTTAAACTTTTTTTTATCGTTGACTGTAAATGCATTTTCAGCATTTACAGCGTTCAGCGACTTTACGTTTTCTCAGAGTAGGAATGTCAAGTTGAAGCTTGTCACAAGTGTCTTTTATTTTGGAATAAGTACCAAATATAGATGGTTCGATTCTTAATTCTTTCAAAGCAAGGGCTAAGTTTGAAACTTCTTCTATAGCTTAACAATACTACTTATAGGTGTATAATTTTTTATATATTCTGTTTCCTTTTTTCAAATAATAACAGTGTCACTGTTTCGTTCCAGTTGTTTCGTTTCTTATACTAAGAATTTAATTCGTTACGAAATGCAAGACCCTGGTTGTTATTTTTCCTCCAAACTTTAACATGTCCACGGTTATGTCATCTTTTCCTGGTGATTTCCGGTTATAAGTCCGAATTGGCATTTTTAATTTTTTATTTTAAATGGTCGTGAGAATTTCCTGTTATCATATTTGTTTCGAATCTTAGAGGCTTGTGTAAATATAACTCAAGCCTTAGCTTGATTGGTATAATTTCATTACATAATCCTTTATGCAATTTTATGATACCAATACCCCTATTGTTTTCAGGCCTATCACTTCCATAGAGATGATGTAGCTTTGATGGGATTCCATAAGTACTTCAAAGAATGTTCAGAGGAAGAACGCGAGCATGCCACCCGTTTAATGGAGTATATGAACAAGCGAGGAGGAAAAATTGTCTTGAGCGAAATCAAAGCTCCAGAAAAGCAGGAGTGGACATCTCCAGTTGAAGCAATGGTCGATGCTCTTAATCTAGAAAAAGAAGTTAATGAGGTACGTAATGTTTGAGCTATAAGTAATTAAAATTAAGAGATACTAAACTGTAGTTACCAATGAAATACAAATTGGTCAAGACTTGTCCCATTTTTCTTCAGATTATGTTAAAGTCTTCTTGCCAAATTTTTTCTAAAAATCGTTGTTAGTTCTGGGCTTCTTAGTCATTTTCAGAAATCTTTCGACACAATAATGACAAAAATTGTTCTATTGGGCGAGCTTTGGGGCATTTGGGAGCTTGAATTTATGCCATTATGCAATAATTTTATGCCATTATGTGTCAGGAGCAAATATTATATCGTGTTGGTAATGACGGCTCTAAAGTTCAGCATCCAAAGCTTGTTCTTGATGTCATATAGTCTTGCATTTTTTGCAAAATGACATATTGTTTACTAACGTTCTCTCTTCTTCTTTCCTTTCTCTTTCAGCAGCGATTACTTTTCCACCCTTTCGTCTGTCATTCTCGTAAGATAACTTAACCATCTAAGTCTCTTTGTCCTGACAATCTAGCTTTCCGTACAGCCCTCCGATCTCTACATTTGTTTGTTTCATCCATACTTTAATCCATCCATCCATATATAAATACTTCGTTCCCAGATGTTTAGTATATTTTCTTGATTTTTGTTCACAAACTTATATTTCGCTTCCGTACAGGATAGTGGGTTGGATCACTGTTCGGAATAGTTTCAATTTTGCCTCCCTGGAGATGTTTTTTGCTCTTAGTAGTTTGTGTAAAGCTATTACAGCCTTCGTTTCTCTCGAAATCGGCTTCTCCATTTCTTGGCTTTCTTCCCCTTCTTTGCTTGTTAGGATTACTCCTAGATACTTAAACTACGTCATCTTTTTGAAACAATACTCTTTAGTCTCTTTCTTTGTAGTAGTCTTCAGTTGTGTGTCTTCATACATGTCATCTGTCCAATTTCCATATACTTTATTTTTTACTCATTAATAATTAGTCCATACTGTTTAGCCTTCGCTTTAGAGAGGTTAAAAATCGTCATCAGTTCCTCTTTAGTTCTTGCCATTTGTTACATCGGTCCAGGACCTGGTTTCTGTTGTCATAAATCATACCTTTTGTTCGTATTCCACTTTTTCTTATTATTGCCTCCAGCAAGAAATTGAAGAGTTTTGTGGACAGCGGATCTACCAGTTTTAATTTCCTTCTGGCTTCAAATTTTCCTTTTAGGCTTCCTTGTATATCACCAAATTTCTAAGAAATTTTGATATCTGAACCAGTTCTGCTTTATCAACCAGCAACCGTTCAACAAGTAATAAATATCTTTGCACATTTGAAGTTTGCAGGATACTTTAAGGTTATTGATTAAGTTTGGCATTTATCAATAAAAACAAATTGTGATTAGTTTGTTGCCAGACCTTTAAAGTCAGATAACAAAATCAAGTGAGAATATCAACATAAACTTTTTCTTATAACGTACGTTAATAATACTCTTGTATGTGTTTTGTAACCATGAGTGATGTTGCTTCATAAAACTAAGTGACAATCTATGTAATAACTTATTCTTTTAAAATTCGGGTTTATAAATTATTTTGTTATTTTGTTCTTCCAGAGCCTGTTACACTTGCACAACGTTGGTTCCGGTCACATGGACATTAACTTATGTGATTTCCTGGAAACGCACTATTTGCAGGAGCAAGTGGATGCTATTAAGGAAATAGGGGACCACATTACGAATCTGAAGAGGGTCGGAGAGGGTCTTGGCGTGTACATGTTCGATCAAAGATTAGACAAGGAAGCTGCTTCTAATTAGAACCAACTGAAATATTTAGTAACCACAAATAATACTTATTGGAAAAGCGGATGTATTCTTTTGCTATTCATTGTTTTTTTGAATATTGATTAGAAGGGATAACTACGTACTTAATTTTGAATATTTTATATTAATTTTCTTCGATATTAGTGATTTTCGTACAAGTATGTTGTATCAATTTTTATCTTATTTGTTCAATAACAAAACATTAAGTCTAAAGCAATTCAGTTGTTTTTTAGTTTCCTTTCAAAATACAATACTGATTACCGTTACTATTTTATATACTCTTATACCAGTTTTTTGAAAGGTAAAAGCATTTTCATCCGCCTCTTTAATTAAAGTTAGACAGAGAAACTGCAATTGTAAGAATAATCAAACTATTGAAGTGAACTGAAAAGTACTGCACAATTTTAAAATTCACTTGTAATTTTAGATTTTCTTATGTCAATTGGCGTATGGCATATGATAACTGGAATATAACGACTGGTTTTATATAATATTATTTAGTTTGATTTCTTTGTACAAGGTAAACAACAAATGACAGATTTTATATTGACGTAGCACATTATTATAACTTTTTTTTTCTTTAATATCTAGCAGCCATTTGTGACTTATTATTGACTGATATATTTGTGATCATATGTGCATAGGTACACATATGCCTCTGTCTAGCTTTAATTAAAGTATGTTTATTTATATAGAGGAAACTATACAATTGGTATCAAACTCATATAACAAATTGTCAATTAGGAATATTGTTTTAATGGCATATATTACAACGTGATATATAACTTTATATAGATAGGCTTAATATATTGTATAATAAAGATTTTCATTTCTCATTTTTATATTTGAATTTTTTCCCTTAAATTATTTGAAAAAACACGTATACATAAAGAAGTCTGTACGCTAGTTAATAATAAACACCCAAACCAGAAACAATTTCACAATCCTAAAACAAAACTGAGAAGAAATTCGGAGGAACAGGTCATGTCAAAGACCTCACTAAACTAGTAGAAATCCAATATCTGAAAACAAACAAC